AATCTGCCAATAGGGTGGCAAAAAGCGCGGAAATTCAAATATTGCCCGTCACTTACAAAGATAGTACGAAATGCATTCTTAAAATTTGCGCTTCTGATTTATTTATAGTACAGGAAGTATGATACTATGTTAATGTAGTAAAATGTACTCCTAGAGTATATTTCAAGATCTTCCAAAATTTCCTTCCTGCATCCTGTTCTGACCCATAACCTGTCACGCAGTTCGCATTTCTCTTTCCCGTATACGAACGTATATACGGAGTAATATACGCAGTAAAGAAATAGTTACGTAATGCGGAAAATCAATTTCGAGATTTCAATAGAAAGACACATTTTGGGGTCCCGAGATATCGAAAAAGTGTTATTTTTCAAAACATCCGTCCGTCCGTCTGGTGTCTGCGAACACTACTAGTGCCTACACCATACGAAGGATATTTTCCAAATTGAAGAAACCCCTGTCCATCTGTCTTGGGTCGAAACTTTTGAGATTTTGAAAAACATTCTTCAATATTTGGGAGTATTTTACATGAAGCCCTCCGAACATTTTCAAAATTTTCTCAAAACGGCTCCTAATTTTTTAAAATTTCCTAATGATGATTTTACTAATGATCGTGGTATAGGTCCGATTTTCAAGGTTAACTCTGAATTTTAAAAAAATTCATAAGTATGAATTTTTTTCGGTGTTTTCCTACAATTACAAAATTAAAGATAAAGGTTTTTCTTTCAAATGTAATTAGTGCTTCATAGTGAGTTCTTTCATTAATGCTAAGCACGATTTTTTTGTATATTTCAGTAGTCTTGTAATATTTTAGAAGTATTTAATATAAATTGATAGTTGAGGAAGACTTGCAAACTGGAACGAATGACTTGTTTCATTGCAATCTACACTATTTAATAAATCAATAGTAGTACAAATACGAGAAAATGAAAATTATATTAAGAAGTCAATAGAGCAAACCAGACAAAACAGGGCTAAGTAATGATCATTCCCATATCCCATCGAGGACAGTCACAGGGATTGGCAGCAGATGGCTAAATCTACACTTGAAAAAGACAAGAGGTTAGTGAAAATGGGTGTGGAGACCAGTTTTCAACAGAATGAGATTGTAAACCTCTATGGTTTTCTCAATAGCTCCCTTCGGACAAGTTCGAGATGAGCTCCATAGAGGATCGCAAGCGTTGAAATAGCCAATGAAGACGAAAGATTGTGATATTTGAGAAATTACATTGGAAAGGTCTTCGTCCGATACTTCTTGACCGGGCGGGATGTAAATGTTGCAAAATGAGAGTGGTTGACGCCCACACACGAATAGAGTAAACTGTGATTTTTTTTTGACGAAAAAATGGACATAGACCAACAAGGTGACACCGCCATGGGTACGAGAAGCATCATCAGTATCGAATCGACAATTGTGAAAACTTGAGAATATACCTAAGTAAAATATGCGTTTCCTGCAAACACACAATAGAGGTAAAGTAACGGGGTAGAAATATTCGAAGAACTTCTAAAAGGGGTTGCAAACCATTTAAATTTCGTGATAAGAATGTCATTAGGAGTTTTAAGGATTTTGTGCCTGCTAGAGCGGTCAGGGGATCCAGGTGGTTAACCCTCGCTCTTTTGACCGAGAGGTCAACCTTGTTTATAGTCTGTTTATCAGGTGACCCAGAGAGTTAGAATCGCCTGCCAACAAAAGTTTCCAGAGCAGACTCAGTCGAAGTTTTCCGGAGAGATTTTCCACATTGTTTATACTTAGATGGTACAATAAACTGATGTCTTGATTGATGATTAAAAAGCGCTTCAATAGCTCTGGTTTTTTGCTCCCATGTCATAATTTAGAACTGAAATAAAATTCATATAAAACGAAACGGAAACAATAACCGTTACAGATGAAAATATTACGTTGAATAAAATGGTATAAATAATTTAAAATAGCGTTAAAGCCACATTAAAAATTCTATTCCCCTGAAGTGATCGTTTTAGGGATTACGCGCCGAAAAGATGTGCACATTAGAACATGGGACCTAAAACGCTGTGTACTGTGAGCATGTCACGTTTTCGATGCCCTGTTCGTGGACCTCAATCGTAGGCTCGGGCAAGATGACTTAGGGCGGGAAGGGATTCATTTGAATTACAGAGGTTCATGGAAGTTGGGGTGCTTGCATGACCAGGAATTGGACACCTTTATCTACAAGGAAAGTGACGACCAGGGGAAGATGTGATGGAGGCGGCGGTAGAGACGACGGCGACAGAGACAACGGCGGCTTCGAGGGACGAGCCTTCTAGAGAACATAGGTGAGGAAAGGATTTCTTAGGTTGTTGCAGGTGAACTGTCGTAGTATTATCAATAAAATAGTTTTGGAATCTAATTGAAGCCTGCGATCGCGAACATAGTGATAGAGACTGAGTCGTGACTATCGGATACTCCGAAATTTTTCATTCTCATTACAAAATCTTTAGGAGGGATAGAAATGGTAGACGGGCGGGGTCTTTATTTGCGTCAAAGCAAATATGGATATTAGATTAGATTGGGTCAGTATACAGTTTGAAATGATGAATAGAAATTATTTCTTCAGGAACCATATTAGAAATTATTGCGTGGCGTAGGCCCCCGAGCCACGGATACATTTTAGATCACATCATTGAGAGAACGGGAAACGAGTATGGCCATCTTATTGTTATTGAAGGAGACTTGAATATTCTTAGCGATAACTGGGTGGGAGCCGTGAGCGAGGGGTAAGTCCAAACACTTGAAAGCGGTCTGGTTTGGGACAGGGGATTAACTCAGGGAGTTCAGAGCGGGACGCGGCAGGATGCTACTTTGGTTGTCTACTTAATTAGGTCGAAAGAACTTCCCACATTTTGTGAAGTTGTTGAGGGCATTAGCGATCACAAAGCGGTTATTCTTGACGGAAAATATTTCACGGAAAGGCATTACGATAGAAACAAATATAGGACAATACAGGAAAGCAAATGCAGACGGACATCAAGGTTTTTTAGGGAACAATACAACCGCTTTCTGAGAACAGAGGGAGGTATGTAAGAAATATGGGGTGCGTTCAAAGATATTATATACGAAACTTTGCAAAAGTTTGTTCCGTGCAAAATTAAAAAAAAAAATCCTGACCCAGAATACAGCAATGCAAAAATTAGGCGAATGGAGAAGATAACGAAAAAGGCATTTAAAAACAGAAACGCAGTAGTGAACATATGAATATTTTTCGAAATCAAACTAATTGGAGAGAGCAAAGAAAATTGTTCAGGAGACATATTTAAAGAATATTTTAGAAGGGAAATAACTGGGCAGGATTTTATAAATATGTTTGTAGAAGGAAGGGAAATAAAGAGGATACCCCAGTTGTTCGTGAAAATAGAAACACTCATTACTGACGATCGGGCAAAAGCTAATGCGTTTAATAAGCATTTCAGTTCGATTTTCAAAACCAATACGAACCATCCATTTATTCAAAGGTTTTCGATTACAAATCAGTTGAATTATATTATTACAATATTACAATATTGAAGTAAACGTTCTACGGAATAAAGTAAAATCTGTAAACAATAGTAAATTAAAGGGTCCAGATAACATTTCTACGGATATAATTAAACTAGGAGAAGAGGCAATATTACCGTACCTAATTAGAATATTTCTCGTATCCATGAACGATTCAAAAGTACCTGAAGATTGGAAGTTAGTTTTTGTTGTAACAATAATCGAAAGTGGTGAAAAAACTATATTAAGTAATTATAGACCGGTAAGTCTTACGTCAGTGGTCTGCAAAATTATGGAGCATCTAGTCGCGAGTTACATTTAGCGAGATTAGGGAGAAAAAGAAAAAAATGCCAAAGCGTTCGATGTCGTTTTCCACGATCGGCGTGTACAGAAATTAATGAATCCAGGCATCGATTCCAGGGTGGTGGCGTGGATTAGCGAGTTACTGCGAGGTGTCTATTACCGATTTCAACATGTCGCCTCTCGGACAAGGGCAGAGTCCCCAAAGAGGACTACGAGCATTTACATCCCAGACTATCAAGACCAGAGAGGGCAGATAGATTATCAAGCCCAAAAGTTCATCGGCGGATACGCACTGCCCTGAAGGGATGTAGATGTTAGGACAGTGAGCGTGAGGGATACACTTGCCAGCACCGTTGGAGCTCGGTCTGAACCGGAACGTCTGTATAAAGCAGAGAGTCGTGGATGAAGGTAGCAATTCCATGTGTGCCGCGAGTGTAAAAATAGTATTAATATTGGCATATTAAAGAGTAAACTATAGTTAAATTATTTGACATATCATTCATTCAATTTTTCTCGTGGCCCATAGTTGGTGTGAAACGTGTACATTTCATTAATTTCAAACAGAAATTATGCAAAAACTGCTCATTTTTTTAAAAAAAATGTACGACTTTTTTTTAAGATCTAATTTTGAACAACAGACTGTCTGAGGTAAAAATCTGTACCTTTTATTTTCGTATTTTAATATTTTTTCCAAAAAACCGAACGATACCCGAAAATGGGACTAGCAGAATATTTGTTTACCGTCTCTTATAAGTGAAGAAAGTTTAATGAACATATTTGGGGCAGTTTTTCAGAAAAAAACTTCGTACACTACTGTAAACTTGATTATTTGCTCAGCGCAGGAACTATAATTTATGCTAAAAAAAATCAGATTTGAAAATATGGAGTAATGGAAACTGACAACACTTGCTAAGTAAATTCAGATTTGAAAATATGATGTAATGGAAACTGACATGTTTAGTTAAGTTGTTTAGGCAAGCTCCCCCCCAGCAAATTTTATACTTTTAGCGATTTTTTTGTTCAAGGCACTTAGTGTCACTAGGTATTACTTGGACATTTTCAACATTTAAATTAAATGGAAAATTAGCAGAACATACTTAAAATTCTTTAAGGAAGAGAAGTGATGGAAAAGGTTAAATTAGAAACAAGCAGGAAGACATGAAGTTTCTGGGAGTTAAATATATACAAAGATATAAAAAAACAAAAAAACTTGACACTGAAATATGATATTTTATCATTCATGTCTACATTATTAGGACTGTACAGATGCCTTGTGTTTTTACAAGCAACAACTTTCATCAGCAGCATGATATAAAAACACTGGATACAAGGTAGAAGAGGGAAACAATAGAATTTTCTTGCAGAAACCTGTACATATTAATACACTCATCAAATCAAAATATTCATTTTCATGCTTACACCAATAAGACATGTAATTTCATCTTAGATGACCCCAACACCTTTGACCATCGATCATACATTTAATTCATTCTAGCAGATTGTCCTTGTTATCTGTCTAGAGAAAAACATTTACCACTAACACCACAGTCATGAGTCCCATAAACACATCACTATTTCATGTAAATAAAACTACACTTCTATAAATGTGCCAATCATTGGACAAACAGAAGCCTAGAAAGTTTGTGAGGTTCAGAATGGTTCCCTACTGCTTTGAAGTCAACACATCTGGCAAATGAACACTGTAATTGGTTACGGTTATTTTGCTATCAAGGTCTATCAAATCTCTTACAGGTCTTCCAATATGGCACACTTCAAAAAAATTGGTAGCCAAGTCTTGTGTGGAAGTTTCATTCAATATTTCATAGCGATATGTATTCTTTTAATTACTTATCAACACTGACATATTAATAAACTTCCATTTACAGTTTTCCCCACATAACACAAGCTATCATTTATCTAATAGCTCCACAAACGATTTGAATTAGAATGCATTGTTTCCGTGTTTCACTTATTCTTGTTGACAATATAAACATTTCTCATTCAAATAACACATTATATGTTAACACTAAAAACTACAATCTTGCACATCTATCAGCATTCATACTATTCATCATTCTTAATTTCCTTATAAATACGTAGAAAACATTTCAGCACTTACAAAAAGGAGGTTGTACATTACCTACAGCAACATATACAGATGTGAACATTACCAATTATTTACAATGTTTTCAATAACAGGTCTTCATTTCCAAATATTTACCTTTTTCATTTCACCTTCATTATACAACATGTACCAAGAATATTTTTATCCATTTTTCTAGGCACTATTGTCTTCTTGTGCTAAAGATACGTTCATTCACACCGCACTGAATTGGAAAGGGAAAAGAAAGTAAATAGTGATGAGATATTTCATTACTATCAGTCAGGATCATTATGATGTTAAAAGAAAACTTCAAGAACACAAATATAAGTCCCATGAAGAATGTGAATCTTTTCAAACGTAAGTAATTTATCAGTCTTCTGAACTTCATACAACCTGTGAAATGATGGAGGTCAGGAGAGGCTTGTTTTAAAAAATAAAACTTTTAAAAAGTGTTAATATGAAATGATGAAATTTTTTATCAACAACAAAAAAACGTCAAGGCTAACAAAAACAAAGTACACAAACTTGGCCCTATTAACATGTGATAAAAGAATATGATCACTCAAGAATAAGAATTAAATGCGTGATATTGATTTAAATGTGGTCTAATTATGGCTACTAAAACACAATTCTGCAAGAAATATTAGCAGAAATCTCCAACAAAATTAAATCTCTTATCATGCATTGCCAGAAATCTAAGATGAATCAAGAAAACAAGCAAAACTGGAATATTTATAAATTTTAACCATTTTCTTAAATAGAAAAAAGGCATAAAAAATAAATCTACCAAAATTAAGACAAACATAATCATCACATTTACACAAGAATCTTCTTTTATTTTTAATTCTACACAAAGATGTTGTAATGTCAGCTCAAGATGTACAAAGAAATGAACAGAATCACACGTGTCTTATATACGTATATATAATATAAAATTATTTCTTAAAATACCAATCTGAATTTTCTGTTCACATTTTGGAGGCACTACTCCCCCATGCCGAACCGAACAAAGGCTGAGAAGGTGGTGTGCCTAATGACGACATGGAGGGTGTGCTTGATCCAGTAGTAGGAGTTATTTTGCGCAGTAAATTTCCTTGCATTAGACTATCGAGTGCTTTTTGTACTGTAGGGTCACTGAGAAGGGGAGTTGAAGTAGGCTGATTCTGCCAGTTACCAGAGGGAGGAGCAACTGGAGCAGGTACTGGCCCAATGTTCAAGGGAGGGTACATCCCTGTCGAGCTACTCAGCCCTCCAAGTCCCAATCCAGGAGCAGTGTTTGCTCCGAGGCCACTCACACTAGCTGAGCTGCCAACAGAACTACCGGCACCACCACCAGCTCCGGCACCAACACCAACACTACCACTACCACTGCCACTACTGTTATTAGCAGTAGACTGATTATTTAAAATATTTAAAATTCTATGCTGAAGGTCCACTTGTTGTTTAGATGTAGGTTCTGCGGACAGAGAAATACTGATTTATGACCAATTGACACAAAACTTTAATGATACAATTCAAATGTTATTGTCTTAAAAGAAAAATTAAAAATATATATTATAATAATAAAATAAAGAGAAGCAATCCGGACAATACTTCCTCATTGCAATCATGCTGACGTCATATGGAAAGCTCTTCTAGCAAATTCTATTGAAGCAGAAACTAATAATACTAATAATAATATGTATATCTATGTTATTATTATAACATATAATAATAACAACTATAATACACAAACACACACAAGTGATATTGTCTGCGATTTGTAATTGTGATCTAATTATAACTGTAATTACTCTACGAAAATTATTTATTATATAACTTTATTTTACACCAATGTAATGATATGTGTACAACAGCTTGTTGCTGCCACCATTAATAAATTAATAAAAAAATTAAATAATAATAATAATAATAATATTTATTGAGTCACATATACAATTTCAATTGTGTATCACGAGTCAATATGATGAATGCGGGTGCACATGTCTTCCTGAGACCCAGAATTCCTCTCTTACTATTATGAATAAAGTATACACACTATAAAGAGTATAAGTACAAAGCAGCATTTTAATATTAGAAATGTTCACCTCTGTTGACTCATTTAAGTGCTATTGATAACTACATACAAATTAAACTGAAAGTGCATATGAAAATTATATAGAAATGCATGGAAATATGAAATAATTTACACTACATAATATAACGTAAGATACGTGTAGAACAGTATCTTCCATGGTTCCATTATGAATTGTAAATAAACACTATTATACCCTATGAGAAACATCCAAAAATGAGTAAAGTACTTATCGAGTGAGCTACAGGATTAACTAGATTTTGCCTCTTCTTATCGGCAGGTAATGTAAAATATGATTTTTTTGCAAGGAATGTAAGGCAAGAGGAATCAAATATATCACCTTGAATTATCATAGTACTACAATGAAATATTTCAACAAGACCTCTTAAGATGTATCAACCAATTTCCAACCAATTTTCTACGGAATGGAATAATTATTCTGCATCACTAATGAGTTTTTACCCGCAGAATGACATGTAGCCCTCATCCTGAACAACTACTTTATTCTTCTCAATGTAATATCATATTCCCATTAAGACCTGGAAGATGAAATTTCATTGTTGTATTCTTTAGTTAGCCAAACTGTATCTGGCATCTCTCATATTTGCGAACAGACATCAATCCCATGAATTCCATGATAACTGAAGAGTGGAGGTCTTTCACGCAAGAGTACATTAGAAAGTGCGAAGATCATTTCAGGGAAGCATAAATTACAATACAATGATAATGTTTGTTTCCACTTTGTATGGCTCTGCGAATTATTTCCAGCCAATCCTTTCCTGCCACTACCAAATGAAAAAGTATACAAATTTGAGGCTTCTAATAGTAGGTTACTTCATTGGTAAAAAGGCCAAACACACAACGAAAATCATACGGTCTGGTGGCCGTATGGACATGCAGATTCTTGGCTAGTACCAATAACTTCACAGAAAGGTCCAATTTCCAACATTTATAATGCCACTTGAGACATAATGCTCAATAGCAGAAATTCCAAAGCATGACATATTCCTCCTAAGCATTTATCAAGCATCTGATTGAAATTTAAAATATTCTTAAACACTTAGGATATAATTCTGGATAAATTGTTGAAGTGGGCTGATTACTGTAATGTGTTTGATAAAAAAATTAACTTTCTACCAAGAGCGAGCGTCATTCACGAAATTGAAGAATCACACCAATCAGATTAGTAAGCTTCTAAAACTCTGATGCAATAATGGATACACACACTAGACGATCCACGGCCCCCCAAACAGTAATTGACCATAACCTCGTAATGCAAACAAAACGCATTTACACAATTACCACCTATGAGACAGGGCTAAGTGGCCATACGGCACAAATACCGATCTTATTAACAAATTAAAAAAAGTACCCCATACACAAAACAAATGTAATTAACATACTAGGAAATTCAACCTCAACACCTTACAAGCAATTCACTTCACTAATGAATCATAATAATACACAAAATTCCTGACCCTAATGAAACCTTTATGTTTACTATCTCGTAGTAAATATGGATAGTAGCGCATACATGTGTAGTATATATGGAGTAATATACGTAGTAGAGAGAAAGTTATGTAATGCTACAGCAAAAAATAGAGATTTTTTAACAGAAAAACCTCATATTATGAACCCCTGACACAGAAAAAGTGAGTAAATCCTATTCTAATATGGAGCAAATTATTTCTTCTCACATATTATGTATTCGATTTCAGAAATTGTGGATTCTTGACGTCAAAAGAGAGTTTTTTCTCAAAATGTCTGTCCACATGTGAACAACACTAGTGTCTAAGCTACACATAGGCTTTTTCTAATTTGAATACTCCCCAGTCGATCTGAACTTGCTTGAAACTCTACAATTTTGAAAAATCATTGATTAATTTTTGGGGGTACACTATATGACCCCCCTGTGACATTTTCAAAATTTTCGCAAGAACTATTTCAACTTTTTTTCTTTCTTGCTCTCAATAATTTTCAACACAAAAATTATTATTGCTGGGCACTGGTAATGAAAAAGTCGATAAATCTTGTCCCTATATGTAATCATTTATGTATTTTCCAATTCCGTTGAAAATAATAATATGTTTTCCAATTTTCTTTAGTATGTACTCTATCTAATCTTTAAAATTTAATTTACTATCAATAATTATTCCCAAATATTTTATTTTATACACCCATTGTATTTCCTACAAGTCGGCGGTAAATAATTAAGTTTCTTTTACTTCTATGATTCTTCTACTATGTAAAATCTTAAATTTGGTCTTTTCAACATTCATTATTAATTTATTTACCCTTACCCATTCTTGTATAGCAATAAATGCACTCTGCATTTTTAAAGAAATTTCCGCAAGCCAGTAGCCAACTGATCGTATTAGCAGATGTAAAAATTGGCAAATAATTGAAAAACAAACATTTGCAGCTTTCTGGGAACTGTGTAACTTATTCCATAGTTTATCATACTCCATTAATGGGCATAACCTAGCAGAGACGCAAAGAATCTGATCTAAATGTTATTGTAAATAAATATTTTAAATAGGAAAGTCAAGTTAATGCCATTACTAAGTGAGCATACACTGTTGAATCTAATGAGAACAAAGATTTTCTCAACATTATTGGTTTTACCGATTGGCTTTGTAATTTGGGCCACTTATTCTGAGAAAAGCAAACATTTTAGAAAGGGTACAGAAGATGGCACCAACAATCCCTAAAGCCTCCAGAAAATAAAATAATGTGAGAAATAAATGAAATATGTGAGAATTTGGCTTGAACAACTCTTAAAAAGAAAGGAGACAGAAGTGGTACTATAGCAGCACACACAATTCTGAATAGAGTAGGATTCTGAGAAGAGTAGCATTATCCTACTTTGTCATTTATTTTACAACTATCCAAATTTAAGATTTTGAGGACATTCATTGAAGTTCAAAAAAAAAAATAGATTACTAAAAATAACTGAAGAATGTATTTCATCAATATAATTGCTAACCACTGGAACACTTTCCTAGTAGACTGTATCGAGAAGAGGACTTTACCTGCTTTTAAATTCTGCCTACACAATTTCCAGCATCAATCATATTTCAAGTGCAATAATGGCTATTATTGACCACAGTGATTTATTTACAATTATTTATGCGATTTACAGCAAACCATGGAATATATATTACGACTTATAAATACATGTTATCTTTGCCACCGATTTGTAAGATGAGATAAGTATATATCATCCCATTTCTGCCCAAAAAGTCAGTCTCACACGATTTCAAGTAGGACTCACCTTTAGAAGAGGGAAGGTCCTTAGCATCACCAAGTTCCAACTTCAGCTGAAGTTCACGTTTCTCCTGAAGGTAACGTATTACTCGGTCATACTGTAACACTGTCAGTTGACGATTATCAGCTAACAATCCTAAAAGAACTTGAATAGCTTCAGGATGACGGTCTGATGTCGGTGCAGGCAATCCAGCTGGTACAACAGCCACAGCAGTCGGTACTGCAGCAGTGCTAGACTTTTCTCCACTACGATAGGCTTCAAAGTTACGCTTAATAAGAGGTACTGCATCTTCTAAAGGCATATTACGATGCTCTAGAATAGAAACAATAAAAAAAATAATTACTTTTCAAGTCAAATTACAAATTACATTCACTTACACTCGTTAAAAAAAAAAAAAGTTAAGAGTTAAAGTTAATTAAAAAAGACACCATGAAAGTAGACTTTGAAGATTAAATAAAAATTAAGACATTCCTAATGCACAGAGAAAGAAAATTAATTTCATTCCTGGAGATTAGTCACCCCTAAACTTACAAGAAAATGTATATCACATTTTCAAACTTCAGATAACTTTATCCTTTGGGATGCAGTAGGAGGTCAATTTATGGACAATATACGTGTGATTTTCATTAGTTCCAGAAAATCAAGTATAGAGAAATTATAGATTCAATTTATATTTTACTAGCCAAAATATTCGCATAAATAAACAGTTATAACTGTTTATTTATGTGAATATGAACCATTAAAAAAAAGTGAAAGTATTGATTTTCTTGGTGATAACATATTGAGTGATTTGGCTGGTTGTTCATGCTTTAAGATTTGTGGGGGCATGGACCCTAAGAATGGTTGAACCGCAAAATAATTAAGAGTTTGAATTGAATTTATTTATATTTCTTGAAAATGTAATTGAGGTGATTTATATAATGATATTATTTGAATAGATCCAGGAATTAATTTATGGGGAATAAAGTTAATTGTTAGGGAGGTGTTCTTTTTTTGATGTTGGTTGTTGCTTTCTTCTTCTTTTCCCCCCTTTGTTGCTTGTGTTTAATCAACAGTTCTAGAGCATGGCATTTCATTATTAAAAGGTCTATCTGTAAAATGTACAGTGCAACACAGCCTTCGACGTGGCGTCACCCGGACAGCCCAGTTCACCCACAGGACTCTGGCCGCGGAAGCCTACGACTTCATATTAGAATTATGTTTCTGGGACACTATATAATCATATTTCAAGGCTGAATTCCATTTCAAATAGACAATTGTATATTCCAAACTAGAGTCCGAGCTCGATTTTCATTCAAGTGCCAGTTATGGCTTCGAGCTCCGAGCATTAGCATTCAAATTGCCCTATAATTGGATGTGATGGCTATAAATATACAACAAGCGCTTCTTTGCTGGTGAGAAGTAGCTAGCAACTTTCTGCAAGCAACATCTGAAGAAATGTTTGATTTCTCCAACATTTTCTGTAGCCTGGACAGAAGAGAACTACAGGAGAGCAATTGGCGGTTCCTGGACGAGGCGTGGCTTTGGGTGTGGCCACCTTCAGGTGACATGAGAGACAATGAGATGGAGATATCAACACAGGAATGCAGTTGACTGAATTGGTTAAACACACCGTCATCTAATGTAACACCCCTATCCTTACGAACATGTCCAGGATAACGAGCACATGACTCACCCTGGTTGCTCCCCAGGCAGATTCCCCCAAACACCCCTCTAAGGCGCCAAATTCCAACTCGTCAAAAATGGAGTGAGACCAATCCCTACCCCCACTGTTACCAACGCATCAGACAACAAAAAACGTTTCCACCAAAAATCTCTCTACCTCGGACCCACAATCTGCACCAACTACTTTCGACAGCTCAGACTCTCTCAAAGACATCCCACCTGCTTCCCAAGACACCCCTAGACCATCAAACATAATAAGTTTTTATAGTTTATCCACCTTATTAGAATACTTCCGTTGCTTTGATTATGTAATAACAACATCAACTCTTGTTTCTCTACTTGGCACTTGTACGAAAATGCTCTAAAATTATGCAAATGTTGCTGCTTGAGCTTGAATTCGCAGTTGCGGTAGAACTTTAACAGCTTCCATCTGCCCGGCGAGAAGAATCCTAGGCCTACAATGAGTTGAGACTTCCCCTCGGTCACCACGGCTCACTGGTGTTAGTAGTGAACAAGGCTAGATCAGACCTAGAATATTATATATAAGAAGAATATAAGTAGAATATTATAAGAAAAAATAAATGTAATGAACACTGATGGTACAAATACCGCGATCTGTAGGCTTGGGGTATTTTGTTGGGACAACAGGGAGAGTACACTAATTCCCATATTTCTTATGTAAATGAGACTACAGAGCCACAAAAGACATTGGGAAGTTACAGATTGGCCATAAAGAAACTTAGTGCCAGGAACAAAAAGTGTAATGAACTGCCCACCTACTGACTTGTAAAAAATGTTACTATCTCCTTTGCATATCAAACTAGGAAAAATGAAGCAGTTTGTAAAAAGCTTTGAACAAAACTGGTTTTTGCTTGAGCCAAAGTTTCCATTGTTGTCAGGAAGCAAAGTGAGAGAAGGTGTTTTCGATGGCCCACAGATATCAACACAGACGCCCATTTTAAAAGGACAATAACCGACATAGAACTTTAAGCATGGAACTCATTCAAGAATGTAATCAACAATTTTTTATGTAACGTGAAAGATGTTCAATATGAACAAATTGTTAAAACAATGCTTGACAAATTTAAGGCTCTGGGATGTAACTAAAGCATGAAGTTACATTTCCTCTATTGCCCTCTTGAACAGTTCCTGGGAAAAATAAGATTACCAAGTGAGGAACAAGGACAGGGATTTCATCAGGATGTGCAATAGATGGAAATGAGGTACCAGGGTCCAAGTTGGTAGACTACGGTTGGTTTTAAACCTGTAAGTGGTATCACTGGTCTCTTAACTCAAAGTCAGTCAACTAAGCATTCGTTTTAAACAAAGTGATGAAGAAAATGGTTTCCCTCAGCAAGTTTGAAATTTGACTATTCATTTTAAACTATTGTATCAATGCAATTAATATATTATATTTTACAGAGTTTTACGCACTTCAAAATTCATTTTCATCTATGTTTTGTGCTAAGAATTACCTCATTGCAATGTGTTCTAAACACATGTGTGAACTTACAGGTGAAATGTAGTATATCAACAAATTCATGCCTGAGCTATTGAAAAAGAACTGTAATTTTGTGACAGTTTTGAGTGCTGATTCCTCAAAAATATTATGACATTCAGCATATATTCATATACCAGGTTGTTACTAGGCAATTGGTGTAAGTTACATTTAACCATGGAGAAATAATTTATTGTTTTCGTTCCGACTCAAGCATGATCACGAAACTTACATACTTAGTAATAGTCGAGAAATGTTTAGGCCAACATTGGAACTTTTGGAAAGCATCAATCAGTTCTCATCTTTGTAACTTATGATAAATTTTTGGTATATAGTTTTGTTTTATCTCAATGAAAAATGAGCTTCTTGTGAAAGATGTTGAAGGCCATCTAACACTATAATCCAGGACTCCTGTCACCTCCTTTCACCAGAATCCATATCTCCAACATTATCTTCTATAAATTTTGAACAATAACTGAAGTAAGAGGCACATACAACATCACATACAGTTCATCCCTAACACTTTCTATTGCTAAAACATTGAGGTTACCTTCTGACTATTTAAATATCATATCCGTAAACAAAAATAAATTAGTTTAATAGCCAATGAAGTATATATAAAATAAGTTTAAACATAAAGCATATAATGCAACATTAATATTCTGAGAGTGCTTTATTAAAAAATGTCATTCAAAAATTTAAATTTTTAAACATTTCTTCAAATTCTGAGCCAACCAGTTCTGGAAAAAGCAATCTGATACAACCTCACCTCAACCAGGTTCAGAACCCAAGTGAATTTGTCATAGATACTTGGTTTCTGAAACAAATGATACTTGGTATTTTTGAATCAAAATTAATAAAACGACGAATCCCCGATTTTGCCCTTCTTCCACTTTATAGTTCACAAGGTGTTCCATCTTGCATACCTTAGTGTATGCATGTGCCCCCATCTAATCATGCATACGTACATATATACAAAAATAAACATATACACTCAGGCACATTTACACACTATTATAATAATACGGTGAGAAGCTTCGCCGTGTAATTTTTTCACACATTTTCCTCCTCATTTGATCCTTTGTATATAAAGTGTATTTCTGTTGTAAAATACGACACATTTCAGCTTTAACCCTCCGACAGCAATGAGCATGCCTGTTTCACAGGTGGGGTCCATGCCCCATACGCTATAAATGTGTTTCCGTGTCTGAGACTTGCAGTGCTCCCAGTGCTACGGAAGTCCACATATGTTCTCACTGGTGTTTGGTTTCTTTCATTTCAACAAAATTGCATATTATGCTTCTGCAACTGGGACAACATCTGCAGTCATCTTAAAAGTTTCATGCATTTCTTTCATTGCAAATGGGTAAAGCTAGGGTCATTTTTCTTGGGTCAGGGAAGTTCCCACCACTCTTGGCACTGTGCAATTGCATGAAGAGCTCAGAAAAGTGGACAGCACACCTGGTCCAATGAGTTGGTACAACACAGATGCCAGCAGCATGCAGCGATAAGCAGTCAAGAGGTTAATTACTCCAGACAATAAATAAGGAATTCTGTGGCAGATTGGTAGGCACTTTACTTCGATTTCAATTCTCAGCTTTAACCCTATTTGTATTTTTTTTTTTTTTTTAAATTTTGTTTTGATAATCAGGTTGTGCTGAAGAACAATTTTATACTTCTATTCTCATAATTTTTCATATTAGCTAATAAATAGCACAAAATCATAGATGAAATATGGTACACTTGCCTTAATACACCCCTCACAAATTGCTGAAGTTAATATCATTTCATCATAAACAATTTTCTATGAATTTTGATTTTAGTGTAAATTTGAGAATTTGTAATTGATGGAATTTAGTAATTTGACCTCAAAATACGTGACATTTTTTGTGATTCCCTCTCTGAACTATAATATTTCAAGATAAACTTGCAAGATTTTATTTTTTTAAATTTGTACCCAAATAATTAATCAATGGCATACCAAACATATAAGGAGTCGCACAACTTGAGAATCACACAAAAAATTGATTAATCTCTTCTTCAAAACAGGATAGTCTAATGGCCAATTCATATTTTTCAGACAAAAAATACCTGCCTTGAGGTAAACCATGCAAGATATTCAAAGTAAGACTTCGGTGCTCCTCGTTCTGTGGCATCACACTAATAGCATACAGGGACCCTCGACTCGAAATGTTGGCAAGAATGCGACTTATCGGAACCTCTTCGTTGGGAAACAATAAATCCACGCTAATATCCAACTGTTTCAACCGATGTTCAATATATTCAGCATACTCTCTGTGGACAGAGAAAAATACATTCAGCATACTTGCAGAAGAGTATCATTGAAAGTTCTAAACACAAAAACTGTAAGTTAGTTTGAACATAGATTGAATCAAAGGTTTTTGTAATTTCGGTAAATGTTAACAAACATTTTAAATTTTTTTGTATTTTGTTTAAATACATACATGTCATAATTTATACAAATTTTCAAATGATCTTTAGGGTATAAGAAAAGTAAGATTATTTTCTCCTTGAAATGAACAATTTACAAATTCAAGTATTCTTTGACATTCTATCCATTTGGGCACTTCCACACATTTGTTCCATACAACTATTTAATATTATACAACATTCAAACAAGATAAGAATTGAAAACACAATCAAAGAGCGACGACACACACACACACACACACACACCTGTCTCAGAATGGGAGAACAAGTATAAGTGAAATAAATTTATTTTAAAGTACCCTATTAAGAAAAGAATGAGCTTTCAAGGACACAAAAATCAAGTTGAGCTATGTTTCATCCTAGGAAATTCATATTGATATGCAATTATAAATAAATCATCAGATGAAATAATAATGCATTTCCAAACTTATGTATGAAAATTGTAATGATTTCCTTTACTACAAGGATACATAGCTTGAGCCCCCTCCAAGTCCATTGCCCCTTTGCCCTTCAAGCAGTATCTTGCTTCTTGAAGGCTGCAGCAGGTTGACTGTCAAAATTTCAAGTGTTGGATTCTTGGAGTGGACAACTGCCATTGATGTGCAGGAAAGAGGAGAGATTGGCAATTAGAGTGGGGGGACCTTCTCGTTATTCACTGTATCGTTCTTGTCTCATTGATTCAGTTTTACCTATTATCCGATTGTTTTTCGACCAGTTGAAGTAACTGAATGATTCTCAAGAACTGATGTTGTTGAGAGAGACCAATAATAACCAAATATCCAAGTCATAATTCAACTAGGGCGCTTACCATCACAATGGACTGACTCAGTGTTCCAAGTTCAGTGCCTTTTCTCTGCAGGAAAGCACGGTAAGCAGCAAATGACAGTCAATGAGCAAAAGTCACTGGAGACCTTTCGTTTTAAGGAAAGTGATACAAATAGGAATTTGAAATTGTAACCTATTCTGGGTAAAAATGATTACTGCAACACAAAAACTGGACAAACACCCCAATCTTTCAGATATGCCATGTTTTGATTGTGTGAAACATATTGCCAGTATTTTTTTTTTTTTAGTCCAAAATGCAAATAATGTTAATGAGAAAGTATAACCTTCTACAATTTTCTTTTCAAAACCTATCAAAACCAAAATAATTAATAAAGTAATATCTTTTAAAGAAACTAATTTACTTTTTAATTGATAGAAGATCTGTATGAAATCATGAGCAAAGTAAATCATCAAATTATAAAAGGAATCACAACTGGAAGATGTTCCTTGAGGATTTCAATTTCCCTTCATTAGATGGGCTCTTATCAATCTTGATCTATGTCCCACTTGCAGCAAGGGTGTTACTTTAAGTATATGAAAACTCTTGCTTATCTCAGTTGGTAACAGATGATACCAGAATTCATAGCAAAGATCAGCAACAATAAACCTAATTATCACAAATGATAAATCAGTCCTGTCAACCCCAGTCACAGGAAGTCTCATTGACAATAGTGGCTATTTTGTTCTGTCCCTTGACAAATGAATTGAAATTTATGAAGCAAACTCAAACACACTCAGAATCGTAAAATGTAGTGGGAAGCAAATTTAAAATAATTTAAAAGCGTCTTCGTGAAGTTTGTTACAACACAAAATCCACCAAAAAATTCTCTAACCTAAATAAACCATGGATCACCAATGGGATCATAAGATTGCACAAACAAATTGCTTTGGAGTAAATACAAATTCACCAACCTACAATCTACGAATTTTACAGGATTACAAAACACTAACAAATGAGACTTGAACACACTGAAGAACTAGGAGCAAACATCACCAAAACAGCAACACTCATTCATTCACAACCAGACATCTACTGAAGTCTACATTTCTCAAACTCCCCAGAGAGATGGGAACTTAGTTTCAGTCAGGAGATATAGCCCAAATCTCTGCTACATGTTTTCAAAACTAAGACTTCTGAATCTCACAATCCCATCCCACCTATATCTTCATTCCATGCTGAAGAAGCCCGAATAAAAGAATTTGCGTTGGATTTTTCCTAGGAGATCAATGGAGTTTCATGTTTAAGGTGTCCATATACAAGAAGCATGTTCCAAAATGGGGTGAATTAAGAGTTTTGTACAGAGATCTGATGGTGTTTACGGAATGTAATGACTTTGTGTTACGCATAACGAGACCTTGTGTTCTCAAAGCTTTGTAAACTGTAATAGATGTGTGTACTCTTTAAGTCAACTTTAGATTCAAAAATTACTCCAAGATCTCAAATATTTGACATTGGAGATAGGGTTTTATTACTCAAGGAGTATAGATAATGCAAAATATGGTGCTTTCGAGCATAGGTGATAATGTAACATTTATTTGTATGGAAGTACAGTTTGCTTAGAGAGCACCAGTTTGTTGGAAATGTCAGATCATATTGTAAGCATATATCTTGGAATAAATCTTGGCATCACTTGCAAACATTAAAATGTGACTTTTTTTAATAACTGCCAGTAAATCAATTATAAACAAGTTAAAATGTATATAATCGAGACGATAACCTTGGGTATCTATTGCACGTAAATGTATCATTTACTGGTAAAGCTATGCTGATATATTAATATGATTGGGGAAAAATGAGGATGTAAAATTAAAATCTTTACTACCAGTTTTTGAGAGAGCTTTGGGACAATACTTATAATATATATTGATCGACAAATCAAAATGTTATACTTGTTGCCCTTCTTACTGCACTACCAATCAGAGGGGAAAAGTCCAATATTCAAAGTTTTGTTAAATATTTCTAAGAGAGGAGCAGTAAGAGCATACCTACAATTTTTCAAGAAAAAAGAGGCAATACCAAATTGACTACTATGGTATGTATAAGGCATCCAAATACATTTCACTCAATGATTGATTAATCTTGGATGATTAACAAGCCGCCAAAAAGAACCAGGATAAGTAGAAGCACTAAGCTGTTGATGTATGAACACAAGGCATAGTGGTCTAGTCTATTTGTTTAAATAATTTGTAGTAAATCTTTCATATATACGAAGGTTGCCTTTTATGTTTGGGGATTTGGCAACCCTGGTGTTGCAATTTGGCAACTGACAGCTCTATCGTAAAGGTGGATGTTTTGAGGTTATACGTACTCAGTACATTTTGACATAAGAGCGCTATTTGTTTTGTTTACAGTAACTTCAAAGATTCATCTTGGCCCAAAAATGGAATTAAATCGTGAACATTTTCGTGTGATTATTTTTTACAACTTTTGACGTGGATTAACTCAGCAACAGTGCATGGATGAACTTAATTCAATATTTGGCGATGAAGCTCCATCAAGGACCAGTGTTTATCGATGGTATGGTGAATTCAATCGTGGTCGTAGTTCACTCCAAGAATATCGCGAAGGTTGTCCAAAATCAGTTGTTCCGAAAACCATTGATGCTGTGGTTGAACTGATATTGCAAGATCATCATGTGACCTATCGTGAGATTGAGATTAGTTTTGACTTAGCACCGAATGACTTCTTTTTATTCCCGTACGTAAAAAACAAACAGGTCAATGTTTTTTGACACCTGAAGAAGCGGTTGCTGCATTCAGAATGCATGTTTTGGAGATACCACAATCAGAGTGGCAAAAGTGCTTCGACAATTGGTTCAAACGCATGCAAAAGTGTATAGATCTTCATGGGGAATATTTTGAAAAACAATAAAGTGATTTTCGATGATTGATATTTGTTTTTGTTCTCTAATCCTGAAATAAAAAAGGCAATCCTCGTAATCGTTGAGCTCAGTAGAGTACCAGTGCATATATGTGCCCATCAAAACCTTTTTAAAAATAATATTATGAATGCTAAAGCATTCTTTCTAGTCAATGATAGTTAAGTTATATGCAGTAGATACCTCGACACAAAGTTTAGTTGTAATGCAGATTAGACTATTTCATTTCTTTGAGAGAAGCACGAGATGAAAGTCTATAGATTGAGGAAAGAGCTGGATGGGATCACAGGGTAATAACCAATCTATGGATTTTTGAATATGATGGTATTTGAATATGATAATGGTGCAGAGCACTTCCCCCAAATACCATTAATGCCTTTAGATTGCATTGTCTCAACAAAAGTGCAAGTATCAAGTTATTCAGAATCACCCAAGAAACAAAAATTGAATTCTGTTTTTCAAATATTGTTCACACTCAGAATTGTTTCCTGATTCACTCAGTTCTGGCAATCTCACTTCTCAATGCCATTATAAGTACAACTGCAGCCTCAAAAACAAACTGATTTCAAACTACAAAAAATTGGTGAAATCAGGCTACAATGAAGAAAATTACTGTCTAATCTTTTGAGGAGAGAATTGGTGGTACTGATAACTGGCGCTATCTACCAGAGTGAAATAATTCAGAGTTAAAAATAAGTTCTATCCAACGGACCAGGAAAATAGAGAAAATCTTGTGGCTTGGGACGTAGGACCACCATGCAAAGAAAATGGAGAAGTGGGAGGACTGCAAAGGGTTAAAGCAAGTTGAGTTCAAGCATGTAGTTCACAACATTCAAGGAATAATTTCAGAATGACAACAATAATCAGTAATTTGGAACCTGGCTACATCAAAGCTAAAATCTCACCATCATGAAATAAAATATTATTGTGATTATACAATATGTGAAATAAATGTATCGAAATAAAGGGTTAAATCTGTACTGTTTGCGCTATATCGGATTATACTTTAAATAAATAAATTTGAGGAGAACTATAAAAAAATTTAAAAAATTGAAACACGCACCTCTTATTCTTTGTCTTCCGTAATGTGTAAAAACATTTAAAAATATTTAAGACATTGAGGCCTATTTTCATTAAGTT